GAGCCGGGGTAAGGCGAGCGGGGAGTGCCGGGGCGGCGGGCGGGGACCGAGGCGCCGCAGCTTCAACCAGGGTACTTTCATTTTGAAAAGGCTTAGGTGACGGTGCTAGTTCTCCCTGGGCCGGGGAGTCACTCCAGGCTACCCTGCCGAGGCTAGGATGCAAAGTTATTTGGTGGCGGCTGCTACTAGCAGAAGGCTGGAGCCGCGGAAGAGGGGTGTGTGCGCGCGCCCAGTGCAGCATCTTTAAGAAGTAGTGTAGCTCGTCTTCCCTCTGGGCTCCCTGCCACCCAGTCCATCTTTTTCCATCCTGTGCACCTGTGTGGGGAAGGGATGGACCGTTACAAGAACGCTTGCTTACTTGTGTTAATGAAAAGTAAATTAACCCTTCTCCGCCGCCTTTCCCCCTCCCTAATTTAAGTCGCCTCGGGGCTCTAAAAGCGCACAGAGAACTCTTGGCCAGGCAGGCTAGAAACTTCCTTTGGTGCTGTGGAGGGGGCCGGCGGGTGGAGAGGGGGCTCCATCACGGTATGAAGTCACACTCTAGAGGGAGCAGAGGCAGCGGGAAGGCGGGAGCGGGAGTCCGCCCGCTTCGGAGTAAGTTGCGGGTACCGGCTGGGGGGTAGCGGCGTCAGGGTCCTCGCGGAGCAGCAGGCGCCGGGCAAAAGAGTGCAAATAATTCCAAGGAGCTTTGTTCGGTGTCTTTTAATTAAGGGAGACGATATCAAATGAGGGGCCAGCCTGGATGCTGGCCTGGCCTTTATTAAAGGCGTGATTATTAATTGTGCCTGCGGTTTGCACCGAACTTCGGAAAAGCAAAATGCAGCGGCGGTTTGTGCTTCGTGTGCAGTGCACGCCACTGTCTACGCGCCCCAAGCTCAGCGCGGTCTCAGCCAGGCTCCTGGGTGTCTGTGGGTCGCCAGCTAGCCCCGCCCGTCCTCGGGGACTTACCCGCGGCGGCCTCAGCCACGCGTCCTAGAGCCGGGTGCTCTGCCCCGCCCCCAAGATCCCAACTTTTCGGGGCTCCCTAGCCTCTGAGAGGGCGTCAGGGAGAAACCAGAGGTCTGGAGAAAGCTCCCTTCCCAGAGCTGGGACCACCGGGATATCTGAACCCGGACGTCCACCAAGGCAGCGGTGAGCGCGGGGCAGCCCAAGGCGGGGTACGCTGAGGGTGGAGGGGAAGGTAATCGCGGGCCGTGGGGCTCCCCTTTCCTTTCCGATCCCTTCTACGGCCTCCAAAGCAAGTTTCACACACCCTTTCTACCTTTTGTCCAGCCTGGGTGAAAGAATAAACCTCCCCCAGGTCCCCAGCCCACCCCGGATCCCCAGGGACCCTGCGTCCCGCAGAGACAAGTTTCCGACAAGGAGAGCGCGCAGCCGAGACTCCGGCAGGAGCCTGTTGGCAGCCCGGGCAGCTCCGAAAGGCGCTAATTCAATAAGACAGAGAAATCTGAGTTCAGAAATCCTGATAAAATCTAATTTTCGGGTTTTAATACCCAGGCTATCAGCCCCCCTCGGTTCCTGAGGACTCTTAAAAGAAAATAAAGCGCATTGATTCCATTTGTTTCAGAGAGCTGCAGTTTCTTAATAATATCAGGTGAAGATTTATTTTCCAAGGAGAAAACGATCCGCGAGGATGCAACCTCTTACTCTCAATTTCTTCCCTGCTGGCTCCTCGCTCCTTGCTATCTACCTCGTTTTTCCGCGAACTCTTGCCTAGGTCCCCCGCCCCTTATTTTCTTTTTGGCAAAAATCTAGTGTAATTTTCGAGTGCTGGGCTCACAGTGCCCCCTCGATGCCAGCAACGCCCAAATGATTGACGGGCTGTAAACACATTTTCCCCTGGCAGATTTTGTTGTTGTTTTCCCCACCCCCATTTTCTAGGGAATGTGTGATGCTTAAGCCAACAAAACTACAAAGCAATTAATAGATTTGCGAGTTGCGCCGCTTGCTGCTCGCTGGGACTCCGGCCTCAGGGCCTCGTTGCCTCCCCACCCGGGCCCCAATCCAGCGCTGTCCCAGTCAGGAGCAGCCGCTGGCCCTGCAGATGAAGCCGGCAGCTGGGCCCGCCTTGAGAGCCGCAGCCAGGCTCCCTGGCCGTTCCTAGCCGTCAGGAGCGCCCTACCTGTTAGTGAACAGTCGGGAGCCGGCTGCTGGAAGAATTAATTAGGGGCATGCTGTTTTCTGGGCAGCTCAGAGCTTGGCTGGAAACATCCAAACCATTGCCGGGCCTGTGCTATTTTATTTTTACTACATTTTTCTCAGGATGAAAAAAAAAAAATAGACGCTTGGTCACGTTCTCCCAGAGAGTTTTCTAGCAAGAAGAGAGCCCGGGCGGGGTCTAGAGCAGGTTTCTATTTAAACGGTCGGTTGGAGGAGGTGTGAAGTGTGGTCTGGCTGGGTTCTCATTCATCTGGATTAGGAGTCCTTCATCCCAAGAGGGGGCAGGGGCGGTCTTAACCTAGATGGATGAGGCCCATTGTAGCCTGAAGCTACGGTAGTGACGGAAGGGGCTTCCCCTGAGCAAGGAGCTCTCAGCAGTCAGGCTGGACCAAAATAAATGCACCTCCTTGACATTTGGGGGCAGGAATGTGCTTGTGTCTGGGTAACAGTGTTTCGTGCTTTGAGAGCCAGCAGCCTGACTGGTCGTCCTGTCCCCAGCCGTCAGGACAGTTAACTCCTCTGGGACTTTCAGTATACAATGGCTGACAAGGGCTTCAGGTGAGGAGAGTCAGGCCACCATATGTGAGGTTTGGAGGTTTAAATGCAGCCACTCTGAGCACTATAAACAGAATAATTAATAACATAGACGTTATTTATTTATTTGCTACATCCATTGCAATAACCTTTGCCCTATTGGCAAAGATTATTTTTGGCGGGGATCTCATGCTGGCGGACTCAGACTCATCCATGATGCAGCAAACACCTGGGAATACACTAGAGTCTGAGAGTCATATGTTTCTAGATGCAGTACTCCTATTAGCTATATTTATTTTAGCTTTTAAATGATTACTGCGGGCTTAAAATAGCTGTTGCCCTCCTAAAGTGATTGCAAACTGTTGGCCTTGGTCAGAAAACTTAACACAACAAAACACTTTGATTCCCCGGGGAAACTCTAAGCATCCCAGTTTCTGGCTGTCCATTCATTTAATTCATGGTCTCACATTGTGCTGGTGCCTGGGTAGCGGACTGCTGGTGGCCCACACAGAGACCTCCCTATTGGGCTGCAGCAGTAGGGGCAATTTCCTCTGTTGGATGCTCATGGCCTGCATTAACAACCTGGACATTTTGATGGGTCCAACCTAGTGTGTTACAGCAACCATTAAACCTTGGTTGGCCCTTGAGAATGGTTTAGAAAGCTCCTGATGCTCAAGAAGGGGCACTGAACAAACACCCTCACAAATGATGAGGAGGAGCATTACCTTTTCCATAGCATGTCCGTCTTTAAACCTGTAACTCCGATATTAATTAAAAGCAAAACAGCCCAGCTTTCTCTGGAGACCTCGCTAATGCAACCTATTTTTTTTGTGTGTGTGCACGCGCGCATTTTGCTAGAGAGCTTTTGTTCTTATGTCTCTAACCCACCCTCCCCTTTTAATTTGTTGCAGGTGTTGCTGCTAATGAACCCAGTCTCTCTCTTCTCCCTTTACAATGAAAGCCTAAGCCAGAGCCCAGGTACCTGGATGGAGCTGAAGTCTCAGGAATTTCCCAATAAGTGGCCAATGGCTACTAGCCAAGGTCAGCCGCCGCCCCCGTTCGTGCCTGTCCCCACCAAAGCAGAGGCAAATGGCCTCTCCTGTTAACACCTCAGTGCCTTTTTTATTTTCTAGTCTAGTCACACAATCATTGTCACTTGCAGCCCATATGAAAAGAAATCTCTTTTATTGGTCTGAGATGCCAAGTCCAGTCCCAAAGAGGGGCCCCGTTCCCAGCTACCATGTACACCTCCTGATTTTACTTTATCTTCACCGTGCAGGCTGGAGGGCTGCTATGCAGTCGTGTTGAGCGCATCACATATTAAGGGCCCTTTAAAGACCTGGATTGATTGGAAGGACAAAAATTAAAAGCAATCTGATCCAGCCCCGTGCCAGATCCCTTCGGATTGCCTCCTTATCCCATTTCCACCCACTGTTACAATTTGAGAGTCTGCCTGATTTGATCAGCTTCACCTCCAGGGGAGGTGTAATGCCAAGGTTAAGAGGACGCCAAGTTCCAGGCAACTTTTTGATCTGCCCATCAGCAGCCTGAGAAACGCTGGCTCTGGATTTTCCGTATCGGCCATTTGGAAAACACAAGCTCCCACCGTTGGCAAACCTGCAGTGCTCAAGTCTATGATACATCCCCGCCGCTGTTGCCTGGTAGATATGGCATTTCCATGCTGAAGCCCCAAGTCCCCCCTGACCCCACCATCATCTCTCCAGTGCCCCTCTGGGCCCCACCCAGTCTGACTGCCCAGCCATGCTGCACCTGCTGGCCCTCTTCCTGCACTGCCTTCCGATGGCCTCTGGGGACTATGACATCTGCAAATCCTGGGTGACCACCGATGAGGGCCCCTCCTGGGAGTTCTATGCCTGCCAGCCCAAAGTGATGCGCCTGAAGGATTATGTCAAGGTGAAAGTGGAGCCCTCGGGCATCACGTGCGGAGACCCCCCTGAAAGGTTCTGCTCCCACGTAAGTCAGTCCTCTGATTCTCTGTTACTGAATTGAGGGGTGGGGGAATGTATGCTGAGAAAGGCCCTGGGGTAGCTGAACAGAACCAGAGGGCCTTGATTCAAGACTAGCTCTAAGTCCCACCATGGAAAGGTGCCAAAGCCAAGTTGCCCTGAGGACCCTGGGGGTTGAGTGACATTTTGTGGGTGGAAGCAGTCTTGGCCAGCTGACCCTGGCATGTTTTCCTGCCAGGGATTGCATAGTTGTCATAGTTCCCTGTCTCAAAGCCAGCCCCTCCTCCTTTGCAGGAAGTCAGCATTCAGACCAGTGATCTGGGTACTATTTGCAAGATTACACATCCCCTGCCTGGGATCCCCCTCCAGTGGTGCACCCTCCCAGCTTACACACCCCCTGCCTGGGATCCCCCTCCAGTGGTGCACCCTCCCAGCTTACACACCACCCTGCCTGGGATCCCCCTCCAGTGGTGCACCCTCCCAGCTTACACACCCTCTGCATGGGTTCCCCCCTCCAGTGGTGCACCCTCCCAGCTTACACCCCATCCTGCATGGGATCCCCCTCCAGTGGTGCACCCTCCCAGCTTACACACCCTCTGCATGGGTTCCCCCCTCCAGTGGTGCACCCTCCCAGCTTGCCCAGTCTAGTCAAGTGGAGGGCATCATGATGCCAGTTCATGCCAAGAACCGACTAAGCATTCCACAGAGGACAGTTTCTAGGAGGCCTGAAAGGAATTCTTAAAGCAAGGGTGGGGGATCAGGTTGGATAGATGCAACAAGCACCCCAGCCAGTGCTGTCCCCTGGTCAAGAGGCAGGTCACCCGAGCCCCTAGTTAGAGAAGTCTCAGTGTTGAGGCAGTGGTAGCAGGGGTGATGGTAATAGCAGAGTCTGACAAGAGCTCCAGGAACGTGGGGTTGAGAGCCAAAGCCTGCTCTTCTATAGGGTTCCCCCTGGGCTCCACCAGGCTGATTCTACCTTGGACAAAGTCAGAACATTTGAATGGCAGTGTCACTAGTGTCCCTCTGGGTTTCTGCTCTGTCAGCTGTAGAATGGGTGCATTAATAGAGTATGCTGGGGGTGGTTTTAAGGGGTCAATAGCGCAAAGGCTACGTGTCATTCAAAATCAGACTGAACACAGAGAAAGTGTCCCCGATGTCTGGTCTTTCTGGTCATACAGATAGGGAAACTGAGACAGCGGGGTTGAAGGCCCTTGGCCAAGGTCACACGGCAGAAAGCGGTGAAGCTGATGAATTAAGCTGAACCTCCAGCACAGCACACAGCAGGTCTGTCCCTGGTGGAGGCTGGGCAGAGCTGGCAGGAGGGGTTCAGTGTCCCCCCTGAAGGCGGCTGGTGCCTCTGAGTGTCCTTGGGGAAAGCTGGGTTTATTGCGCAGTCAACCTGCTGTCCCCAGCCCAGGCTCCTGAAAATGCCTAAGTCCCTTGGGGCTGCTTCAGTCACAGTGCAGAGCAGCTAGCCCAAGAAGGTAGATTCCCACTTGTCAATGGTGATAAGGCTGTCACTGTGGGTGGTGGCTGGGCCTGGGCCAGCTTGGAGAAGGGGAGGGAGGGAGGAAGGGAGGGAAGGAGGAAGAGAGAAGACAGCTCAGGGCTGGGAGCCAAGACTGGCTTGTGTGTGGACATTGTTGAGTACCAAAAGACCAAGCTGGCTTAAGATAGGCAAAGGGCCCAGGGCCCTGAAAGTCAAGGCTGAGGCCATAGTGAAGCGCATTCTGAGTCCACATCGCAGCTCCCGTGGGAACCGCTCCAACCACACATTTGCTAGGCAGAGTCTCAACATGATTTTGTCTTTTAAATATTAATCATTGCCAGGGTTGGGGGCAGTTCACAGAACAGGCTTCTACTCAAGGGCGTAAGGGCTACAGATGCCTACCAGAGGCAAGTCCGGGACTCTGTCCTGGCTGGTGATCCCTTCAGGTCTTGATGTTGGTTAAGCTCTGGGGTCTGGATGGGGAGAGGAACCAGTGTGGCTGAGAACTCGACATCTTAGTACTTGTCTGAATGACGTCACTGTCCCATGACAGGCAGATACAACTTTGACTTTGATTACAAATGTGAGACCAAGGCAAACGGAATGCCATAGGGGTAGGCAGAGAAGAGCCCTCTGAAGGTGCTGGCTTCTGCAGGGAGGTGGCCATCGTACCCAGTCTGTATGAGAAACCCATGACTGTGTTTTACTGAGGCCCTTCCTGCGCGTATCCGGGGCAGGCCACAGGCCTGTCGTTGAACCATTTTGAGGGCACCCCGAGGTAAACCCCAGTCTAATCCCTTTTTAAGGATTAGAAAGATTGCCTAAATCCTGCCAAGGTCAAGAAGCTCAGCAGGCAAGGCAGAAACTCATCTGTGGCCAGAGCACACGCTCACCCACCAGGGTGCCTGACTTCCCTCTCTGAGCCTGCTGACCTCGCAGAGCCTGGGTTTCCTTCCTGTTTCGGTAAAAAAGGATCACGTAGGTGTGTCACTGTGCTGGCAGGGAGACAGCTGGGCCAGGCGTGAGCGAGCGAGCATGTGGGAGTGCCGGAGTGTGCGATGGCCGTAATTACCTTACGTCAACCATTGTTATTACTCCCGCGGCGGCTTCCCTAGAGCTCATTGTTCCGCTCCAGCCTTGACCGCATCACAGTCTGCATTTCTCCCTCGTCTACGGGCGGGCCGCAGGTAGTAGATGGACGCATGGGGACCGTAAATGCCCTCAGCCAGAGCAGGTGTGGCTAACTAGCCACCAGAGGGCACCCCTGGTGGCAGCCAGACCACCCAGTGCCCTCTTGGTCTTCTAAGTCATGCTCTCTGGCAATCCTGCTGCTAACAGGTGCAGGCCTGCCTGAGCCAGCACCCAGACAACCAGAGCATGAACCCCGGAACACCTCGAGAGAACAAGAAGGGACAAAGGAACAGTTGCCCTTTTCAGTCCCAGGGTGTTGCCCCTGCTCTCCCAGGCTCCTGTCCTTCAGCAAGGCCACTGGAGAACTGAATTGTAAATTCCAGCCTGGTGAGGAAGGGGAGGGGAATAAAAGACAAGATAAATGAATAAATAAAAACCTATTGGCTCTAAATGCATGAGGAAAATGAATAGGGATGAGCTTTCCGCAGAGGGCAAAATTTCAATGAGAGCTGCAGGTCAGAGGCAGCCCCTGGAGGGGAGAGGAGAGGAGGGGGCCGGCAGCAAAGGGCTCTTCAGCTTTTCACAGGGTGGGCAGCCATGGCTTCTTGGACCCCTCTGCCATGAGGTAAGCACACTGGAGCCCAGATGGGCCAGTGTCAAGCGCCTCCTGCCTGCAGCCTGCACCCCTCTCTCTGCCAAAGGGACAGAACCTTAGGCCAGTGAGGAGTGAAGGAGGGGAGGCTGAGTGTGCCCAGCCTTCCTTCAGCCTCTTTACTGCAGTGAGAGCCCTGGACCCCAGCCTCAGCCTCCCTGAAGTGCAGATTCCCAGGCCCTGCCCCAGACCTGCTAACTGTAGGGCATGAAGACACGGGCAGGGTTTGACCCGTAGGGGAAGGGTTACTGTGAAGACTCTGGAGTCTTGCAATTTCCTTGAAGTCTCTACAGCTTTGAGTGTTGGTCACTGCCCAGGGAAGAAAAAGAGCAAAAGGGACCCTGGGGTCCCGAGAGAAAGGTCAGGCACTGATGTCACGCAAGTTGAACCCTTGAAAAGCAGGGTGGATTTTGCCAAGGCTGGAGTCTGTGCTTCACTCTGTGTGACTGACTTTCAGTGGCTGCTTCCAGAAAGTGGCAGAGACCTGTGTTGCTGAGACTTCCATCTTGGCGTTACTCCTCTGGACTCCATGATCTGGAATAAGCCATTCAAATTCTCTACACTAGGCAGTGGGTGTGGCTCTCCACACGGGGCTGTGGGTGTGGCTCTCTACACTGGGCTGCTGGAGGGCATAGCAGGCACAAAGCCCAAGGTCCAGTCACTAACCCTCTACAAACCAGACATGGTGGCACTTGGTAGCCGGAGACAGGAGGATCAGAAGTTCAAGGTCATTATTAACTGCATAGAAAGTTCAAGGCTAGCCTGAGCTACCTGAGAACCTCAATAACTGGGACTGGGGTGAGGGTGGGGCTGGAGGGATGGCCTGGCAGTTAAGAACACTGATTGCATTTGCAGTACGCCTACATGGTGGCTCACAATCACCTGTAACTCTAGTTCCAGGGGTCTGATGCCCCTTTCTAGCCTCCACGGGCATTGCACACAGGTGGTATCCAGACATACATGCTGGCAAAATACCCATACACATAAAATACAATAACTTTTAACTAAAAAACAAACAGATGGGTTTAGTGGCACATGTTTTTAATCCCAGCACTAAGAACGCAGAGTAAACCTGTGAGTTCCAGGTCAGGCTTGTCTCTATAGTGAATTCCAGATTAGCCAGTATTAGAAAGTGAGACCCTGTCTCAAAAAAGAGGGGAGGGGGAGGCATTCTCTCTCAGTTTCTCCATAAGAGTTCGCCTTGTCCACTCCATTACCTGAAGAAGGAAGCAAGAGCTTAGTCAGAATGAGATCTGACCATTAGCCTGTAGTTAGTCTCCGACACCTGGAATTCTCCCTGTCGACATGTGTGAACATCAAATGTGTCTAACAAGTCTCCGGGAAGATGACAGTTTGCAGTCCCATGCCGTGTGACCTTCAACATGGGATGTAACCTTGTGTCCTCAGGATGGGACTAGTAGGAGAGCACAGTCAGGACATTGTCACCAGAGCAGCTCTGACTCGGGTGCTCCGCTTGTAGGGCTCTAAGCAGAGTGCCTCCCTCTCGTCTAAGGCTCATCTGATGGACAACTGGATGGATGGGTGGAGGGATGCCAGGGTCCAGGAAGGCTTCTCAAAGGAGAAGGGATGAATGCCAAGCTTTGAGAAGACCTGGGGCTCTGATCAGGACCCAGGGCAGCTGGAAGCCCTCACTTCTCCATACTCCCTATGGCTGTGGGATCAACCTCGAGTTGAAGCCAAGGGTTTGCCCAGCTCTCTGCTTAACTCAGTCATA